CTATATATAAGACAAATATGTCATACCTATTGTCTCAATTTGACCATCTTTTTCCAATTTATTACTCACATGCTATGAAATTCCATTATTCATTCAACACTGAAATATTTTCATTATTTTAGCTTCCCTGTAAACACAAGTAGACTTCAGAAGGAGCAGAAGTTGACATAAAGGCTTCTTATTCACTGATGAGCATTGAGCTCTTCCAATAGGAGTCAAGTAAGTATCTACTCTTATAAAGTAGTATTTCAAAGTCCAGGGACAATGAATTATGAAAATTACATCACTGGTGTACTTCCCCAAAAACTATATTCCCCAGCTTTACTGTAGCACAAGGAACCACTTCATGGCTCATGTGCTTACCTTCTGCCTCATAAAGCGTATTTCTATTTTAGGGAACACTGGCAAAGGGATTTTTGTGGTATTTGAATATTGTAGCCAGTTCTCAAACCACACCTTAATATTCATATGGGAATAAAAATTCAAGATTTTATAGTCGGTAAACATTCTTAAGAGCTATAAACCAAAGTTCTTTTAAGGAATGTAGTTTATTTGTAAAAGGAGTCAATATGTTTGTGACTCCTACTTATTATTATTCCATTTTTAAAGTAGATTAAACAAGTTTAAAGTATTTCCAGTCACATTATTCAGTCTTATAGTAGTAAATTCAAAGACAGTACCTCTTGGCTAGTCTGTTCTTACTTGTACAGTTTAGATAACTGAGGTGCTATAAGTAATACCAAAGTTTGAACATATTTTCTAATATGTAAATTATAAATTTTAAGTGAGAAATGCAAATGTGCCAATGTGCAGAATGGTCAATTTAGAAAATATGGTAAGTTGAGAGAGAATAAAGATGGCAGAGGAGTGAATGGAAGGCACACTGACCTCCTCGAAGGACCAACCTGGAATTACAACTAAATTGTGGAGAAATCACCTGGAACAAACAACTAGACAATAGCGAGAGAGGAGCCTTATAACTTCGGACAGAAGAATCAGCTTTAGCACAATCTAACTGGTAAGGAGTGCGGTAGAGACTCGAGAAGGCAGGCAGGGCACCCATGGGCGGCAGCACCAGAAGGATATTGAAATGGCCAGTTGGATCCCCCTGAGAAGAGCGGTGTCTAAACCATAAGCAGGGATCTCCAGCCTACAGCACCAGAGCCCAAAAAGTACAGATAACAGCCAGCTGCAAAAAGTGGCAGGGTTGCTCTCTGCCAGAGACAGGCAGCTGGAGACGCAAAGAGCCATTTAAAGAGCCAACGCATAAATTTTTATTTGCAGCCACTTACCCTGGGCTTTGGCAAAGGCAGGGGCAGAGTGGGCTGGAGACACCTGGGGAAAGACTGGGGAAGGAGGCTTTGGAGAGAGAACTGACAGTAGTTGGCGGAATCCCAGTGCTGACTCCTCTCCAAGATGGCAGCAGCCATCTTGCTCAGGTAGAGACCACTCCCTTGAGTGGCAACATCGTGAGAGGACCCAAAAGCCCCATCCCCAGGACGGCCTCGGCCCCGCCATGTGGTGTCTAAAAGAGGCCTGCTGAGTGTAGAGTGACTAGATTAACGGCTGAAGAAGACAGACACAGACAATAGATTCCTGGAGGTCTGGAACAGACTGCCTAAGCTCAGACAGGGTCAACACCTGACATCAGGCAGATCCAGGAAGAAAGAACAGTGGTCTCCTAGCATAGAAGTTCACACCACAAAGGAAATGAAGACAGATCAATTTAAGAAGCAGAAGCAAAAGAGAAGAGCCTCACAAATAATGGGAAGACAAAGAAACACCCCCCAGTCAAACGGAAAGGAGGAATCCCCACAAAGAGATCTAGGTGAAATAGAGGCAAGTTAACTATCAGATACTGAGTTCCAGACAACGGTTCTAGGGAAGCTCAGTGAGCTCAGAGAGAATTACTAAAAACTACAGGGAAACTACAAGGAACTTACTGCAAACTATATCAGCATGAGAAAGGACATAGAAACTATCAACAAGAGGCAAGAGGAAAGGAAGAATACAATTTCCGAATTGAAGAACACAGTAGAAGGAATCAAAAGCAGGCTAGATGAAGCAGATGAACAAATCAGAGAGCTGGAGGATAAGGTAGAAAAAAGCTCCCAGAAAGAGCAAGAAAATGAAAAAAGACTCAAAAAGAATTAAGAGTTTAGGGAAATGCAGGACAACCTGAAACGTAATAATATCCATATAATAGGGATACCAGAAAGAGAAGAGGAGGAGGGGATAGAGAACCTGATTGAAAAAGTAATGATGGAAAACTTCCCTAATTGGAGGACCGAGAAAGTCACACAAGTCCAGAGAGCACAGAGGGTCCCATTCAAGAGGAACCCAATGAGGCCCACTCCAAGACACATCGTCATTAAAATGGCAAATATCAAAGACAGAGAATCCTAAAGGCAGCAAGGGAGAAAGTGGTGGTACCATATAAGGGAGCCCCAGTACGACTAGCAGCTGACTTCTTAACAGAAACACTGCAAGCCAGAAGGGAGTGGCAAGAAATATTCCAAGTCATGAAAAGCAAAGGCCTGCAACCAAGACTGCTCTACCCTGCAAGGCTCTCAATTAAAATGGAAGGCAAAATAGAGAGGTTTCCCAGACAAAAGAAGGCTGAAAGAATACACCTCCACCAAACCAGCACTGCAAGATATGCTAAAGGGACTCCTTTAAGAAGATAAAGAAAAGGAGTATGAATACCCAGTTCCTTTTACAGTCACCAATACTTGACATTACCAATATTTTTAATACTTACTAATCTGTGACAGTGATGTGTTATTTTGTTACTTTATTATTTGTTGAAACTAAACCTGGTTTTGTATATTTCTTGCCTATTTCTATTATTTTTAAAAAGCTTTAAATGACTTTTGGTATTCTTTATCCATATTTTGATTAAATGTTTGTAGAATTTTTGCCCTAAAAAAAATAAAAACTATTAACCCTTTTTTAAATGTGTTGCAAATACTTTCCTATTCTATTATTTTTCCTTTTTTATATGTATATTACTGTATATTCTTATTGTTGAATATAGTCATATTGTCAATATTTTACCTCATAGCTTCTGAGTTTGAATATTTTACTTCAGGGTAAGAAAAATATTATTTTGTATTTTCTCCAAAAACTCCTCTAAGATTTTACATATTGATTTTTAACTCACCTAAATAATTTTTGTATAATGTGTGAAATAGAGCTCTGTATTTGTTTTATTTCCAGTAATAGTGGTCCATGCACTTCATTTGTTGAATAAGCCTAATTTTCCCCATTGATTTGAAGTAGCAATTTAATTATATATTATATTGTTAGACAGATATGTACATTTGTTTCTAGAATGCTCATTTATTTCATTGATTTTACTTTATTCTGTGCTGGTGTCATGTTGTTTTAATTGCTGAGACTTTATAATGGATTTAAATTTTTTAATTATAATGGATCTTGACATTTAAAAAATAGATAAATAAAATCAATCTGTATTTTTTAAAAAAGGGAAAAAAGAAGTATACGCCTACCTTTTGCGACACCATGGATGGAACTAGAGAATATTATGCTAAGTGAAATAAGCCAGTCAGTGAAAGACAAATACCATATGATCTCACCTATAAGTGGAATCTATTGAACAATATAAAAGAACAAACAAAATAAACCACCAGTATGGAAACATGTAGCAGACTGAAAGTGGGGATGGGGAAGGAGGACAATGGTGGGAAGAAGGGGAAGGGACTAGACAAAGAACATGTATGAATGACCCATGGACATGGATGACAGAGTGGGAATGGACTGTGGGAGTGGGGGGTGGGGGTGGGATGGGTGGAGGAGGTCAGAGGGCGAAAAATTGAGACAACAGTAATAGCATAAACATGATTTAAAAATAAAATTAAAAATATATATAAAAAGAAAATATGGTAAGTTGAACTTTAAAATAAATATTGATTTATTCTTAATGTAAATTTTAGTATATTTTTGGTCCCTCATTTAATGGATGTCCATCATTACTTAGTGGATGCCTGAATTTATTGATATTACCAAAACTTGAACTTTTGTAATCCTGTAGAGATCACCAATGTTTCCTTGATATTTTCATGTTACTTCATTCTGAGTGGCATTTTAGAGGGAAATGAGCTCTATCTTTAGCTTTGAACTTTAAAAAACAGAGTATTATATCCTTTGGTAACTTTACTAAGTGATTGATGGCACACACTTCTCCATCAACAAGATGCTCATCTAAATCTACAAAAAGATAAATATATCCAGAAAGCTCACATAATTATTTCCTGTTGAAGATAAAATTCCCTCTGTTTAGGAAGTCCTTTATAAACCCCTTTTTGAGTGGGTTCTTACAACCCACTCGCAAATAATTATGACTCAACATAAGCTTTCTGAAGGGATATGCAAACCATTCTTTTTAATACACAATAGTGACCCAATTTTAGAGGCTTTGAGATCTGATGCATTCAGAGCACTAATATAGTCCTCACAAGTTAAAAGAGCTGATAAGATTATCTGCAATATAACCACAACAGATGAGATTTCACCTATGATTTGATAGGTCTAGCAATGCCTCACTTTAGTGAACAATCAAACCAAGCTTGGCAAATATTCTCTTTGTGAAAAAGTGTCTTTATAGTGTTGACACCATATTGATGTTGAACTGTCCAAAGGGCCACCTCTGTTCTTTGAGCAACTGAAATGCCAAGGATGCTCAAGTCAGTTAGAAAAACTTCATTTGGTAATGTGTATCTGGAATGTCACGCAGGTAGGGTTAGAAATGGTTGCTAATAATCTAAATGTCTTTAGAAATAATTCCAGATGGTCTTGACTAAATTTGTAAGTCAGAAGATACGGGAAAGGCAGTACATTTGGGAAAACATAATTTTGGCAGTGCCATTTTAAGCTCTCAGCATTAAGCAAGAGTCCCAGGAATCCTAATTCTTGCTTACCTTTAATTATTTTATTATTGCTAGTGTCAGATAATGTAACAAAAATTGTCTTAGCTTCAATTAACACATGATTTTTTAAAAAGTTTTAGGCATTACAGGGCCTTTAAGTCCCTTTCCATAATAGTTCCTACTATTAAAAATGTCAAACAGGCCCTGGCTGGTGTGGTTCAGTGGATTGAGTACCAGCCTGTGAACCCAAGGGTCACTGATTCAATTCCTAGTCAGTGCACATGTCTGGGTTTCAGGCCAGGTCCCCAGCAGGGGGCATGCAAGAGGCAATCACACATTAATGTTTCTCTCCCTCTCTTCCTCCCTTCCCCTCTCTCTAAAAATAAGTAAAACTTTTTAAAAAATGTCAAACAGGTTATTAATTAAGTATAAAAAGTGGAAAGTACCCATACAGTTTTGAAAAGGAGGCAGGCCTAATGACAGCCAACATTCTAATGTGCTGGCCACGCTCTCACGGAAGGGTTGGGCAGCTAAGTTCATTTTCAGTACATGGTTTTCAAATTTGCAAGTTTTCTTGGGATTGTTTCCATGCTTGATAATTACTGTTCCTCTAGTGCTACTAACTCCACAGGGTGCTGCCAATGTGCTGTGCCATTAATAAACTGAATGCTTTGAAAATTCTGAAATGCATTTCCTTTTTTTATTTTTAAGATTTTATTTATTTATTTTTAGAGAGGGCAATGGAAGGAGAAAGAAGGGGAAGGAAACATCAATGTGGTTGCCTCTCACCCACCCCTTACTGGTGACCTGGCCCACAACCCAGGCATGTGCCCTGACTGGTAATTGAACCGGTGACCCTTTGGTTAGTAGGCCGGCACTCAACCCACTGAGCCACGCCAGCGAGGGCTAAAATGCATTCCTTAATACAAATCAAAGAAGTATGCTATATGTTGGCTAGAAGATGAAGGATGCTGAAATGCACACTTTGTGTCCATCAAAGTGTATTCCCAATGCTTTTGCCATTAGAATGCTGTGAGCTGTAGCATTGGATGTAACAGCCCCAACTGTGATCCCTGTGTCACTCAGTTTGCCAATAGTGAGACAAAGAAGCTGAGCTTGCAAATACCCAGACACCCTGTTTACAAAAAAATAACCAAGAAATATTCTCCAATGACCACAAAAACCCACTGCCATTAACAAAACAGTTTCTGAGGCGAGTTGCATTTCTTCAGCATCAAGCTTGCCAAGACCAAAGTCCATAAGTCCTTGCAAATGATCACTGCTGAGGTCCAACTGAAATTGTTGCTTGAAAGATAAGCCTTTTATTGTCAGTGAACAATACTGATATAGCTGGTGTCCATTCTTTACTCTTTGTTGAAGAAAAGAAAAAATGTTGCTGTTGAAACCTGGACTGGATTTGCATTTGGATAACCATTTGGAAAATATAAAAAATGAAAAAATATAAAACTCAATGAAGAAATTATGCACCTTATCTGTTGAATAAGCCTTATTTTACCCATCAATTCGAAATAGCAATTTAATTCTTTTCACTTAGTTCTACTTTACTCTTTCTAGTTTGTTGTAGATCAAAGAGGGAACAGCCAGCTTTAATAATTGTCTAAAATAAGACTACGCTGGTGTGGCTCAGTTGGTTTGAGCATCGTCCTGTAAACTGAAGGGTCATGGGTTCGATTCTTGATCAGGGTACAAGACTGGGTTGCAGGTTCAGTCCCAGTCAGGCACATGCGAGAAGCAACTGAATGATGTATCTTTCTCACATCAATGTGTCTCTCCCTCTCTCCCACCCTCCCCCTCTAAAATCAATAAGCATGTCCTTGGGTGAAAATAAAAATATAAAAAGTAATAAAATAATTGTCTAAAATAAGATTAAATGGGTTCTGAGGTAAAGACTGACATGGTCATCTTAACTGAAATTTGCTTCTATAACTCAAATGACTTTTTTGGGTTAAATTTCTGATTTGGGGGCAAAACTCTAGGCTACCAAGGTTTCTCCTTGGACAGCTGACTTCTATTTAACTGAGATTTTAAAGTCCTTTCCCAGGTATTTCAGCATTTGACTTTCCAGATATTTTGCTGCAACCTAGAAGTTTCATACACAGAACTTACCTTTATTACGTGCCATGCACATATATAATGCATAGATACATAAGTGTGTTTGTATATATAATTTAATGCCAATTGTGACCCAATAAATTGACTTCAAGATTCACTAATGGGTTTGAAAAACACCATTATAACATACAAAATATACACTTTAACTGTAAATACCTTATAACCTATTTAGGAGACAAAAGTATTAATCAGTTATTTATATTTTAAAATAGGACAAAATACTAAGACAATGAGAAAACAGTACAGTGACTCTACACAAGGGTGCTACTGCCCACCAACTAATATATTGAAAACCCTTAACAAGAGTGTCATCAAATTTTAATCAATTGTTTAAAATTTATTATTTTGCACTAGGATTCTCAAATGAACAACAATGATACTAACTGTTGCATATGCATTGAGTATGTAATGAAACTAATGCCTCTATGTAAAACTTTTAAACAGGTTTTTAAAAAGCTAATGTTCTGGTGAGCTTGATCTTTATTTTTTTTAAAGATTTTATTTATTTAATTTTAGAGAGAGGGGGAGGGAGGGAGAAAGAGAGGGAGAGAAACATCAATGTGTGGCTGCCTCGCGCACCCCTACGGGGGACCCAGCCCACAACCCAGGCATGTGCCCCGACTGGGAATCAAACTGGCGACCCATTAGTTCTCAAGCTGGCACTCAATCCACTGAGCCACACCAGGCAGGGTTAGTGAGCTGGATTTTAAAATGGACGTCTAAATGTTATCTTCATGTCCACAGTTAGTATGTTTTGAACAGCAAGCAGAATATGTGGACTGCTGATTTATTTTTTAAAGTGTTCACAATTGAGAGTAGAAGTATCCAAACCATGTTTGTAAGAAAGTAGGGTAACGACTGATTGCTCTTTTAAACTTTTTCTCCCACCTAAATTTGTTTTTTAAATTCTGATTAAAAAGAAAGTGTCAGTGTACAAAGTGAAACAGTACAAAAAAGAAAGTAAATATTGCTACTATTTCAGGGAAACTCTTCCAGATCTCTTTATATACAAATACCTAGATATAGTTTTCAAAAATTATAATGAATCCATTTTTCTTTACTTAATAGCAATGTTATAGACATGTTTTACATGTCCTTAATTGCTGGCCTACAATATTTTAAATGTGTCCACAGTATACCATAGTATAGTTAAACCATAAATAATTTAACCAGACTATAGTTAAGGGCATTTAGATTGTTTCCATTTTCTAGACAATATAAATAGCACTACAGTATGTTTGTGTGCACACATACACACATACATATTTATGTCATTTCTGCAATTCCTAGGAGTAGGATGCAGAGGTAAGTTTAATTATGCATGTAGGAATATATGGACTTTACTTATATAAGAAAATAAAAACAAATTTTGGACTTCAGATCCACATAAACAGATGGGTCAATTTAAAATTAAATCACATTCCCAAATAGTCCTTCAGAAAGTTTATACCAATTATAATTTACATTCTCACCAACAAGATTTTTTTAAATTATACAATAGCTTAGTTACGAGATGATTATAGGGAGTCATTCAGGTGGCCGAAAACTCTGGGAAGAACACAGTGATAAAGAGCCATAATGCTGAGCTGAGTGTCTTTCTTTTAGGTATTAGCTTCTCCCACTGTCTTACTTTCAAATCTTTCATATCACCTTACCCAGAGGAAACTAATTCACTAAATTGCAGTGAGTACAAAAATAGAATATTAGAGAAGAAAATTTACTAAGATTGTACTAAATGAATCACTATTACAAAAAGGAAGGCTAAAGATGTTATGACATCATTTCAAAGGATTTGTGAAAACAAAAACTACTTCAAAGACCCAAAGCACTGGAATTAGAAGAAGCACATCTCAGGAAGAGTTCTGGACATAAAGAATTCAAGAGAGAATTTTAAAAGGAATCAACTTCAGTACAGAGAAAAGTAGATGAATTAGAGAAAGACATAACAATTAGAAATTAGTGAGGTATGTATCTAACTGAACCAAGGGTTTTTAAAATGTTAACTTGGGCTTGGTCTGTCATCATCTAATTGTTTACCATGTAATTGTTTCTCCATCATCAACGGGGAAAAACAACTATTCACATTTTCTCCTTTCTCCTCAAACTTCTAATGTTTTCTTCCCCAACTCTCAGCTATTAACTATGACACAGAGAAGCAATCTGATAAAACCCATTTCCTATAACTAAACTTGTTCATCTACTGAATTTGTATTTTCCTTTTTCCTGCTTCAGTGCAGGAATTGTCCCTGCCCCTAATTAAGGCCAGACCCCCTCCCACTGTGGTGTTAGATGGTATCCTCCTGCCATTATCCCTTCCCTTGTGCATCACCAATTTTCTTCTGTCTACGAGATCATTTCCATGAGCAGCAAACATGTTGGAATCTCATCTGCCATCCTAACAAACATCCTCCCTTCCGCCTGCAGATGCATTTTTCTGCTCCCTTCGTAACAAAAGTCTTTGAAAGAGTCCATAATCATTGTCTCTGCTTCTCCTCCTTCCAGCCTCTGGTGATCCCACTTCAGCCATGCTTATGTCTCCACCATTCCTCTGCAACTACTTTTGCCAAAGTGACCAATGGCCTCCATCTTGCAAAATCCAATGGTCTCTGTTCTCATCTTACTCAATCTCCCAGCAGCATTTATTATTTTTTTTAAAGACTTTATTTATTTATTTTTTTAGAGGTGAAGGGAGGGAAAAAGAGAAGGAGAGAAATATCAGTGTGTGGTTGCCTCTCTTGTTCCCCCTACTGGGGGCCTGGCCTGCAACACAGGCATGTGCCCTGACTGGGAATCAAACTAGTGACCCCCTGCTTCACAGACTGGCACTCAATCCACAAAGCCACACCAGCCAGGGCCCCCAGCAGCATTTAACATAGTGGATTACTATCTCCTTAAAATACTTTCCACATTTGGCTTCCACAGTCTCTTGGTTTTCTTCCTGCCTCACTGGCCACTCCTGATCAATAAAGAGTTATCGGATAAATGAATATTAAATATAAAGAGATCTAATATTTAAGCAGAGGTGTGTTAAAAGTACAAATTTTTAGAAGTACAAATTGATAGTTACAGAATAGTCACGGGGATGTAAAGTATAGTATAGGAAATAGAGCAGCCAAAGAACTTCCACGCATGACCCCTGGACATGAACAGCGGTGTGGGGACGGCCTGGGGGAGTGGCGAGGGACTGGGTAGAAGGGACAAAGGGGGAAAACTGGGACAACTGTAATAGCATAACCAATAAAGTATAGTTTTTAAAAATATCTTTTGAAAAATGAATAGAAAAATAATTAAATATGAATGAACATGTTTGACAGGTCAAATTTTTTTTAGGATGAAATCTAGGTACTTCTAATATATTGGAATAATAGACATTAAAACCAAATTTTATTAATAGCTAGATTTTTTAAAAGTCTGGGAGAATATACACCAAACTGCTAACCATGGTTATCTTGTAGAATTAGGGGAATGGAAGTATTATGAATATTTTTCACTTTCAGGTATTTATATACTCACATATTGTTTGAATGTTTTATAACAAACATGTATTGCTATCACATTAAATAAGGTACCTTAGTTTCAGACAAAGTACCCAAAGAAATAAGCAACTTTTTGGTACTAAAATTGTAAATCTAAATAGATAATGTCAGAGCAAAAGTTTCAAAATGCAAAATGACATGAAGAGAAAAAAGATCAGTGTAAGTTGGAATTGCCAGAGGAGACAATCCAGGAGTTGATGCAAAACTCTAAGAAATGAAGAACATAAGAAGGAAAAAGAGAAAAAGATAAGTCATATGGAATTTCTTGCATAAACCAAACCAGCGCAGAAGAGAGGACTTGACTTTAAAAGGTATAGAAGGGGCACTGGCTTGGTATCTCAGTTGGTTAGAGTGTCGTCCCTATACACCAAGGTTGCAGGTTCAATCACCGATCAGGACACGCACAAGAATCAACCAAGGAATACAGAAATAAGTGGAATGACAAATTGATGTTTCTCTCTCTCTCTCCCTACCTCTCTAAAATCAATGAATAAAATTTTTTATAAAAGGTGTAAGAGGAAGAATTATCACCACAGCATCTATAAAAGTGTCTCCAGCTTAGAAGAAACCTGACATTTGTAAAAAAGAAGTTTATAAATATCCACCCTAAATGGTAAAATAATATTATGGAAGAAAATGAATAAGCCTATACACAAATGTTCATCTCAATATAAGAAACAGCGATTACAACCAACAAATAGAAACAATGTAAATGTTCAATAGTTGGAGAGTGTCCTTGTTAATACGTACAATTATCTGATAATATGCAGCTACTAAAGATCATAACTATGTAAAAAACTAGTGAATCTAAGCATAGAAAAAAGCCTGGAAGAAAATTTTCCGAATGCCAGCCCTGGCCAGGAACTCAGTTGGTTAGAGCATCGTCCCTATACTCCAAGGTTGTGGGTTCAATCCTATCAGGCCATATTCAAGAATCAACCAGTGAATACATAAATAAGCAGAACAATAGGTCAATGATTGTCTCTCTCCTCCTCTTCCTTTCTTGCTCTAAATAAATCAATTAAAATTTTCTTAAAAAAGAAGAAAACTCCCTGAATGGTAATAATAATTGTTTATAAATAATGTAGAGGAACAATTAATGAATTTTCCTTCCTTTTTTCTCATTTCTAAATGTTTTAGTAGTAGTATTATTTTAATAGCATATATGAAAAAAATTCTCATCTTTCATTTTTTTTATTGTTCATATACATTTGTCTCCATTTTTATGCCTCGTTCATTTTTTAAATAGGGGATATAATGTACAGTATGGTGACTATAGTTAATAATATTGTATTGTTGCTAAGAAGATAAATCTTAAAAGTTTTCATCACAAGAAAAAAGAAACTATGTGTGTGATGGGTGTTAATTAGACTTGTGGTAATTATTTTACAATACATTCAAATATTGAAAAAATGTTGTATACCTGAAACTAATATGATGTTATATATCAGTTACATCTCAATTTTATAAAAAGGTATTTTCCCCCAAACAGAAGAAAGGTCATGATCATTAAGGCCTTTCCTCCCACCAAGCCTCAATTTCTCCCTTCTTTAGAGTGAAGGGGTGGGCCTGCATGATCTCCAAGAGTTTCTCTAGCTCAGAGCCCCTGCACATTGTTTTCAAGTTGAAGCAAAAAGAAACCAAGAATCACCTTCCTGGAAAGATGGCTCCTGCCATTCCTGGCTGCTCTCTGCTGCTTTTCAGACAGCAAATTGAGGTCTATTGCATTTCTTTCTTGTATCTATTCAAAATCTTGAATTACCAGCTAGGCATTCTTTCAGTTCCACAGCTATTACCAAGGGACCATTGTGTTCCAGGCACCACTCAGGGGTTCGGGTGCGTGGGTATAAAAAAGAACCAGACACAGCCCCCATATTTGGGCAGCTCATACTACAGTGGGGAAGACAGTGTTGTAAGTACTAAGATTCATTTCCATATTGTGTGTGCAAGAGAGGCGCCTCATCCAGAATTGATAGAAGAATGGCAGGCCAGGCTTCTGAAAGGATATGACATCTAATATAGCCTGAAAGGTGAGGACTAATCACCAGAACTAACATAGGGAGAATGGGCATTTCAGGCAGATGAAAAAGAAAAGCAAGAAGCAAGATGTCTTACAATTGGAGCAAGAGCATGGAATACAAGAGGGCAGGGAGGGAGGGAAGAGCTAAGCTGCAGAGCCCAGCAGGAGTCACATCACAGGAAGTTCAGTAAGCCCTAGGATTGAGTGGGCCTTTAGTCTGCAGGTAGCCAAAGGAAAGTGACTGGTATAGGCTGAATTGTGTCCCTCAAAAAAGTCATATCATAACCCTAATCCCCAGTACATCAGAATGTGACCTAATTTGGAGACAGGGTCTTTAGAGAGGAAACAAAGCTAAAATGAGGTTGCTAGGGTGAATTCTAAGCCAACATGACTCATAAAAAGAGGAAATTTAGACAAAAAAACACATATGCATAATGGAAGATGAGGTGAAAAAACACAGGAAAAGGCCACCATTTTACAAGCCAAGGAGAGAGGCATGGAACAGGCTCTTCCCTCACAGCCCTTAGGAACCAACACTGCAGACACCTCGATTTTGGACTCTATAACTGTGAGACAATACATTTCTGTTGTTTAAGCCAAGTAAACAAATAAAGTAAAAATTAAAAGGAGCCTGTAAAAACCAGTATTAAAAAGCAGTAAAAACTGAGTATTAAATTTATAAAGTATTACAGTATGTCATTGTGTTATCTGCTTCATACTTAGAAAATTATAAATGTATCTTTGTATTTTGACCACAAATCCAAAAATTTATCATAATCTGGTCTCTGTACAACCTTAATTGGCATCAACTACAATGCTTATGAAAAATTCAGATTTTTGTGCTTTGCTTCAAACCAATGGTATCAATCTAGAACAGCTCTAGGTTTTCTAGGATAAACTACTCTATAGTGTATTAGAAGTTCCAACATATCAGGATTCCAATTTTATCACACAAAATGTCTCTATCAACTAGAAGATGCAAAAAATGTCAGATTATGTTTCATTTTGTTGGTGAAACCATTGAATGTGATAATATATAAATATCACCTAAGAAGTTTTTAAAAAGAAACAATGGACTGATAAGGGGGAGAATGAATACTAATAGACTTAATGTCTAAAATGCAATAAAAGAACAAAAGATTACATCTAAAAAGTCATTTACTACATTCTCAGAAAGGAAGAATGAGGCAGTTTAAGAATCTTTCCCAGGAGAGTAATGGGGGAAAATGGGGACAACTGTAATTGAACAATAAAAAAATAAAAAGAACCTGTCTTACATAATCATAGACTTTGCTACTGTACAAGTATGTTAAGGGGGTATAGAGCATGGGTCCCCTGATAATAGGGGAACACCCTGGTAATCCTGCCTTCAGGCAGAACTGAGGGCAGGAAGCACCAGAAGGTACAGTGTTTAAGACATATTACAAAACAAAGGCAAAATGAACAGCCCTGCCTTCCTTATGGGAAGAAGTCTGTTGCCAAGGGCAAATTGTATAAATGATCGTGAGAACGTTCAGGGACTCATGACGTAGCCAGGGTGGGGAATGCCCTCCCCTAATGCCTGTGTGGCACCAGGAATTCTTGCCCTGACTAAAGATGGCAGCCAAAAGAACGTGAAAGACACTGGGGACTGACAAAAATGGCAGACATTACCACACCATAGAAAGAGCCAGATATGAGGTTATGTAGGAAGTTCTGAGCCCAGCATTTAAATTAGGGTGGGTCAAAGGTCAGGAGGGAGCCACAAGGTCAGAGGAGGTCCGCAGAAGGGACAACCACAAGGTCTGTCTTCCTGAAAAAGATCACAGCATAGTTGATGAAGCTATGAGGGACCCACCAGGCCAAGCACAGACACAGGAGAGGTGCTTGGAGCTGAACTGTGATCAGGAATGCTGAGTTGCAGAATCCTGCTTCTCTGAAGGGTGTATGGAAGAATCACTCTCTTGGTATGGGGACTCTTGGTATGGGACTTCAGAGCTTAGTTCAAGCTCGCATGCTTTCTCTTTCTCTCTCTCTCTCTCTCTGTTTTTGGCATGTGGACATTCTAGGCTTCTGGCCCTGCTCCCCACACAGATGGGAGCACTCATGGGACTAGGATATGTAGGGCCCACCAGGGGCTTAGACCCCACAGAGGATGGGAGCCCACACCTGGAAGCGGGGTCCGGCACAGGCACATGTGCTTCTCTGGCCTTCACCTTCTGGGACAGTGTAACAGGGCACATGGTTTCCTGAACTGCTACATGGAGGCTGAGAGCTGCACACTCCAGATCCTGAAGAATAGCTCCTGTGAGAGGATGGCGACTGAAACCCACAAGTGCACGTTCCAGAGAGGATGGAGGTCTGTTTGCGTGACCGGCTGATGGACAAATAAGGAAATGGCAAACTCCAGGATTGGTTTTTGGCTTGTACCCTTAGGAAGCAAAGGAGGTTCTGGGTCTCATGGGAGAGGAGGGCTGAGCAGGAGTGCTCTCAGCCCCAACCCTAAGGTTGGAACCCTGTTAATGAAAACCTGTTTCCTCCAACACTAATTGTTCAGTCATGTGGACTGAAGGATCCAAGTGGCTAAGCCCCTGTCTGCACAGTTACAAGTAGAGTTTATATGCAAATTGCTTCATTTCTCATATGGGATACTCAGATGTTTCTTTCCAGTTATACAACTCCCACTCAAAATCTGTTAAAATAAATGTATTTATTCCTTGTGATAAAAGATGTGTACGGTAACATTTTCATGTATACAGCACAGAATTTGTATATAAAATGCACTAGGCCCCAAAATTCAAATAGAGTGGAACCTCACTTTTCGAACTTAATTTATTCTGGAAGTCTGTTCCAGAAGTGATTTGTTTGAAAACCAAATCTCCTTTGTTTGTCACCAGAGAGATGAGTGACTAAGCACATCAGTATCAGCATGGAAAAGGTTGTTGGGTAGAGAATCAAGACCCAAAGTTTTATTAGACAACTGAGACATTGTTTTCCATGAACAACTTGATCGAAAACTGAATCTTTCAAGAACCAAGACATTCAAGAACCAAAGTTTAACTGTACATTCACATTTTAACCGAGTTTGTACAGAGAGGAATATCCTATTTTTGAGCCTGTTGGCAAATTTATCCTGTTCATCTTGAATTATTTCACTAGAAAGAAGAAAGAAAAAAATATCAACCTGAGTCACTACATTTATTCACTGCCAGCCTGAATGGAGATTTTTAGAGGAAAAAGAAAGACAATATACTGACTGGATAAAATTAAGTCTCTTAATTATGAGGACATTTATTTTATTTTGTTCCCTGGCTATATTTATCTGAGAGCAAAAATGAGACATGAGAAACATTTCTGGGGATAGGGCACTATTCTGATTGAACAGACAATCTTGCCTACTATTCAACAGGTGGGAAAACAAACAAACAAGAAAAAAAAAACCAATTCTGTTTCTGGTGAGGACATCTACTTATTACCTCTGTTTCCCTCTTGGGAAAATCACAAATTATTCTCCTTCTTTAGAGATACCTACTCTTCTACCAACAGGTCTTGCTTCTTATTTACCAGAACATAAATCCACAATCTCTGCTTCTTTCATCAAAAAAGTAAGTTGGCAATTCTTATCTTGCCTCTCTTTCAAACATCCTGGTTCACTAAGAAGGCAAGGTAGTTTTTCAATGGACATATATATTTACTCTGTGGAATATTTTAGAAGAAAACTTGGAGATTCAAACTGTTTTCAAGCTCAAAGTGGTTCTGCAAATTATGTAGTTCAACTCTATTGCAAAAAGACTTTAGTGATAAATTATGTAGCAGTTAAAACTATAAAGAATTTGCAGTAACATAGGTAAATGCTATTATAAGAAGTAAAAAGTACAGTATATGGTATAAACCATATGATCTCAACTCTGGCTGGTAGGATTATCTGTTATTTTTATTATTTATATATTTCTTTGCTTTTCCTGTAATAAACATTATTTTTAAAATTAGAAAGCCATAAAAGGATTTTGGCAATTATTTTTCATTCTTCTTGCTTATGCTACTAAGAGTTTTCACTTCTCAGCCAAAACACATTTGCTATGTTTTCATAGGCAATAGCAAAGTACTTAATGATAAATCAGAAAAATTAAGAGCTATTTTGTAAATATCACAGGTCACTGGGGAACATACCTGAAAACTGTGCTTGTGGCAGACGCTCTGTTTCTTCAGAAAGTAGTTTCTCTTCTACCAGTACATCAACTAATCTTAAGCCCTTTCTCTTCTTGAACATCCTGTAGTTTTCTACTGGAATAAGTCTTTTTAGGGGGACATTGGTAGCATCTCTTGCACTTCAGCCAGTTTCTCTGCACCCATTGTCAAGGGTCTCTCTCTTTAAAATGTAGTTATGATGCTCAATAGCAACCTCTTGAGAATCAACAGAAAGTGGCTCTTTTAGGATTTTCTGTCTTGTACCTTTCAGATGTACACCTTGGAGACTCTATAACAGAAATAAAAAATTAAAAAATTATCACACAGATTATCTATAAAATACCACTGAATGCAAAGCACTTACCTGGTTGCTGTGTAGTTATGAAAGGAATGTCATAATCTCTGTAGGACAATGTAAACAGGGTTGCAGTGGGGTTTTTTGTTTTCTTTTTGCTTTTTTCCCCATCCATACAGAAATAATAGCATGATGCTGAAAGTTTCTGAAAGCTGAAATGATTAACTAGGGAAAGGTGGCAATTTGGAAAAGTCTTCATAGATATGCTTTGAGTAGTTTTTGAAGGAGCAATAACATGGCTTAACGGAGGGGACAGGACACTTGTGAAAAAAGGGAGGCATAGTGGACAGAGCCTAAGCTGTGGTATTAAGGTTAACCAGGGTTACATTCCAGCTCCCTCACTTGTTAGCTGTCACTTAACCTCTACAATTCCTCATCTCCTTATTTGTTTTGAGGTTACAAGAAGTTGTCTTAAGGATACAAGATAATTTTTGTAAATCTCCTAGTACAATGCCTGAATCATTGTAGGTCTCAATAAATAGTAAGTACTATTGATTTTACACCAATGCACGAAAGGAAGTCAACTTAATCAATATACAGTGGATAAGTGTATGTGGTTTGATAGTTCAAAGCCATTAAAATACACAAATCAGTTAAATAGGAAGTTCTTGGTTGGATTCCCAACATCAACTATATTCTTCTGAATAGGGGAATAAGAAGAAATAATAACAAAAGAAGTAGACTCTATTGAGTAAGAGAAAGTTAAGAATAGTGGCAGGATAGAACAGTTAGATGACTCTGGCAGATAGTGACTGAGCCATCACCAAGACTGACTAAGGAATCAAAGGATAAAACAATAAAATAATAACCCCACAAGAATGTTAACAGCAACTGGTGACTGGCTTATAGAAAATCTTCTATTTTTGTATACCTCTCCATACCAATGCTAATAGTTAGGTGCATCTTTGGTCATGATCAATAACATTATTGGGAGGAGCCAAAAACGGGATAGGTCATTTCAAACTATTATGAAAACTGTCTCATACATAAAAGCCTGAATTCTAAGTCCAGGCATTTTTATTGTCCACTAGTTGATTCTTGTGATCGGTTTAGTAACCTTTATGTATATCTAGATGTATGATATGCATTTATACACCTCACTTTTTAAAAAGCTCCAAAAAAAGAATTGTTTATATTACATTCCACATTTAAAACTAAACAAAACTAATTTTCAAAGCATTTAAAAATCTATGATTGGATTTAAGACAGAGGTTTTTTTTTTTTAAATCTCTGCAGATTCTAGCTGAAATGCAAGCCATCTTGAGTTTTAAAGGCTCTGTAAAACTTAGTTTTGTTTACACTTAGGTTTAAAGACCTTGTATAGAGAAACAAAAGGCACAGATCCTGCTTTCTTCTTGTGTCATATGACTCAAAGTCACTTTTGTGAAAATGTTTGGAACACAGCATAGCACTCGGTCCTGGGATCCAAATCTTTTTGCTTCCAGGGTCCAAATGATTGATAGCCCTGTTCCATTTTAAGTACTGTATGGTATCAGTTGGAAATCTATAGCAATCATGTTAAAGTTCCATTAACATGAAAATATTATAGCAATGTTACAGTAGACATAAACCCATTTATTATTTAACTGCTTTATATAAACATTAAGTCCAGTTAAGTAAAGTTTAATTTACTTAATCTGATTTCATTTTTCAAATTTCTTTGACTTTTTTGTTCCAATGTGAATGGGGGCAATTCTTATATTCAATGGTCTACCACATTTTGTCTTTCCTGCCTATGTTAAACAGAATCAGCTCAAATTTAATATGTGTGTTTTCTTTTTCTGTGGCTTTTTCCCCCTATGGTGATTTTAAACCTTGTCCACAAATTCTTTGGCACTCTCCCTTCCAAGGGGTGGAACCTAATTCTCTTCCTCTTGAGTGTGGGCTGGGGCTAGTGGTTTGCTTCTAAGGGATATATAAAAAAAAGCAGTGATAGTGGGCAATGAGACTGGATCATAAAAGACACTGAATCTTCCTCCTTACTCTTGCTATTGAATGGCCTTTGATGCAGGGGAAGCTATCTGCCGTGTCATAAACAGCCCTATGACAGGTGCACATGGTGAGAAATGGAGGCCTCCAGCCAAAGGACATGTGAGTGAGCCTTTCTGAAAGGCCCTTCAGCCTCAGTCAGGTCTTCAGATGAGCACATTCTTGGCTAACATTTTGACTACCATCTCATGAGACACCGTGTAACACCCAGCTAATCCACTCCAAATTCCTGACCTCAGGGATTTTTGAATATAAAAATCTGCATTTCCCTCTTTTTCAGTCCCAGCCAAATTATTGTTTTGAAATGAGCTAAGAAAGAACTCATGAAATTCATATAATGAAAATCACAAAACTACTCTTTCTGCACCCTTTTGTTTATGTTGGAAACAGATTTAAGCTGTATGACTTTTGTGTATTTTAATTTAGGCTTTAAAGCACACAGTTGTTAAAAACTGAAGTTGGTAAAAATTTTTATTTTCTCAACTAATTATTAGGGAAATAACATAGCAGTATGGTAAAACACAATTCTGATATACTCTCAGTCACCTTGAGAAAAAAACATTAAAATGGAAAAACGTGTATCTAAGCCTCAATTAGCTTTTATCGGCTATATAGTACTAGATACATCTCTCAATCTTTGAGCCACCTCCTGCATTCAAAAGCACTTTGTAAATGGTAAAGTACTACCCAAACTTTATACTTTCCTAGGTACAACTAATTCTACCTGGGGGACTTTCTTTTGATTGTTCTAGGAAGATGATGCTATTTGATCATGAGAATATGTACAGGGAGTTGTTTCTCTAATAAAGGAGAGGCAAATCTGTCCCTTTTCATTAGGTTCTTTTCTTAACTAATGGCACGTTTGTGAAGCGGCATTTCTACAGATTGAGTGTAGTATCTAACCATGCAAGGGACCATCAAACATTGGCTAGTCCACCAAGTTATATTATTAGCTTGGTCCTCCAAAGCAAAGCTTCCCAACTGGCATGCCTGGTGAGCACAGCCATTGGTCAAATCCCCTTAGCCCATGAGGTGGCCTGGGCCACCTGAAGCCCTTGAATTAGTTACATCAGGCCAGTCCCAAATGGCTTGGCTGGTTTGCCCCAAAGTATTAAATAAATATTCCCTATGTGTAAAACAACATTAAAGAGTTAGGAAATACTGTATCCTCAGAATGAGTAATTATAATTCTGGACAAAATTAAACTGGCAATAATCATTGCAACTGCTTTTAGCCCTGACAGGTGTGGCTCAGTTGGTTGGGTGTTGGTCCACAAAGAGAAAGGCCTCCCGTGCAATCCCTGGTCAGGGCACACGCTTATGTTGCAAGTTTGGTCCCCGGTCGGGGTGCATGAGGGAGGCAACCAATGGATGTTTTCTCTTTCACATCGATATCTCTCCCTCTCTCACCCACTCTTCCACTCTCTATAAAAATAAGATCTTTTTGAAGAATTGAAACTACTTTTAAAGCATTTACCTTATGCTATATATATTCTAAAGACTTATAGCTTAGTCTTGCAAAAACTCTGCAAGACAGGTTTTTATTCTTTTACAGAAGATGAAACCAAGCCCAGAGCCAAGTATATCACACTGTGATTCAGACTCCATTTTCTTTCTCTTGTTGACTATGTCTTTTTTACACTCTGGCAGGAATTTACCTTTGGCTCCCTGCACATCAAATATTTTCCAGAAAAGTGGCTAACAAAAACCCCTTCTATAAGTGGGCTACCTCTTAGGTAGAGAAAGAATTGAGGGTTAGGCTTTAATTATACCTGTAACTTGTGTCTTCTACAGAAAACAAAAATCTGAAACTAGGCAAAATGTTAACCTCTGCTTTATCCCAGCGATGGGTACAGAGGTGTTTGTTATATATTATCTTTCCAGTTTGCCAGTGTGTTTAAAATGTTTCATAATTAAGAGTTTAAAAACAGAATTTATAAGAACAGTTCAGGCAAAAACTCTTCCAAATTATTGTATATTTATTTCTTTGGTTATGAAATAAATTTTTTAACCTCTTAAACAAAGAGAATGAATCGAAGGGTCACTTTCTTTAATCTTTCACTTGCCAGTCTCACTTCACATTTAGCCATTTGTGTGTTTGACACAGCACCAACATTTCCTTACAGTTTCCACACCTTTGAGTCATTTTGATTCAGGTTTTTCAATCAGAACCTTTTGCCTACATCCTCGCAACTTCTTTCACAACTCTGGTGATTGTACTGGGGGATGCTGGGAAAGGCTTCAGAGGAGGTAATATCAGAACTAGAGCTGAAGAGATCATATGAGTTTACCACTGCAAGCAGTTGCAAAAACAAGAGATGTGAAATAACTTCTGGGATCTTATTGGCTGATAAAGCACTAAAAAATAATCTGGAGGCTTGAAATGAGAGTACCAAGGTAGCTGGAAATTGTTGCAGGTGGGCTGGAGAGGTAGCTGGAGGCCAGATGACACAGGGTTTTATTCTGTGCTAATGAGCTGTCGATCCATCCTTCAGGTCAGCGGCCACCACTGAGATTTCAAGAATATATTAGAATTTCCTTTTATAATTTTTAACCCCACCCTTTAATTTTTGATATACTTACACTGGCATATCGCTATATATGTAATTTATAAATCACTATGCATAGCCCTGGCTGTGCGGTTCAGTTGGTTGGAGCACTGTTCCGTGCACCAAAAAGTTGCCAGTTCAGTTTATAGTCAGGGCACATATCTCAGTTATGGGTTTGATCCCTGGTTGGGGTGTGGACAGGAGGCAACCTGTCAATGTTTTTCTCTCTCTCCCTTCCCTTCTCTCTATAATCAACATAAACCTCTCTTTGGCTGAGGATGAAAAAAAAATCACTATGAATATATCAGAGATGATGGCAGCTTTAGGCAATGGCAAATTGACGAAGTCTCTCCTTCCCATGTTACCTTTTTTGCTGAGCTCTAAATTCAGATTAACACTACCTTGTTGCTGCTAGGACTAATACCATAGTACTCCAAGTCCTTTACCTGTCTCTAGTCTCTCCTGCCTTCCTTACAGTTTCATAGGTGGCGAGAAGACAAAGATGATTCCTTCCCATTCATACAGACATCTGTTTAAGTCAGTGCAAATGTACAATAATAGAAATATTGTAATTCAGGTTAGAAGAGAGATGTCTGAGGAAAGACTTCACAAAGGAGTCTGTACTCTGTCTTTGAGGCATTAGAGAACACAAATGATTTAAATCCTTTCTTCAGGAACCCAGCACATTACAATTTGCATTTTCAGAAAAATCATTGTGAGGGATCTACAAAATGGAATGGGGGAAGGGAGGGGGGAAGAAAATCAAGCTGGAAAAATTATAGCACACTATTGTAATAATGCATCATTTTAAAAATTAAGCAGGACTGACTTACTTTGGTCCTCAATATAACAAATAAAAGCAATAAAAGAGTTCTTCCCTATTTAATGAGTTTTTAGAAGGTCCCTTCTAAGGAACCTAAGAAGGCGGCACAGGAAAAGCAGGGCAGCAAAAAACTGAAGAAGAAATTAGAGATAAGGAAGAGAAATAGGGTGTGTCAAGAAAGCCAAGAGAGGTGAAGATTTTCAAGGAGTACCAAATGATTAAAAGTTAAAAAGAGGTCAAAAGAAGGACTTGGAAGTGTTCACTTAGATGGGCAAGATTATCAGTGACCCTTTGTCCGCTTTGTTTCATTAGGGCAATGGTCACAGGTGGCTGCAGGAGGGTGACAAGCCAATGGAGGGAAGTAGGTCTAGGCTCCTGCTTTGAAGGACCTGGTTATAAAGGGAAGGGTAGTGTAGAGGTGCACATGGACTCAACAGTTTCCATGTCTGTGTTTAAAAATATAAGTACAGGTATCCCTCATTCTGAAGTTTGAATTATGCCACTTCACTTTATGAATTAATACAATAATCACTTCTCCCCCCCCCCCCCGCGCCCCCCCAAAAGCGAAAGTCCTCTGGGTTTCTTTCAGTTAGTGAAGACAGGTGCTAATGTAGATCTCCCGTAAAAGTGAAATGGTGTAATGCGAACTTTCTGAACGCAAACTTCCTGTTCTTTTTATGCCATTTCAGCTTCTGAAGTTTCATAGGAATGCTCTGCTTTCAGGGCGGGAGTAGGAGGGCTGAAATGCAAGCATGCTCACTGAGTTGAGGCAAGCTGTCCGTAGAGAAGGCAGCGTACTCGATGGGGAAAAATCCCAGAGGGAAATGGAAAGGATACAATTATAGCAGCTTACGTGGACGAATGAGCCTATTTAAAAAAACAAAACAGTGACTACAAAAAGCCTATCGTACACGGTCTTGAAACTCGATGACCTGACCTTTTAATTTTTAAAAATAATTTGTTTCCAAGCTACTTTTTCCACTCTTGTATCTTTTATCTGCACTTTCCATCCCTTTACATTTTCCCATGCTTTTCCTATTGAAGTGCTTTCTTCCTCCCACCCCATCGCCCAATCTAGGTAAGGTTCAAGATCCAACTCAGTTACCCCCACGCCCATAAACCTCCTTTTGATCTTCTAATAGCGCTCTGTCAATAGCTTAACTCCACATCTCACATTACCTTCATAGGCTACCTCTTTTTAAAGTGCATTTCTTGCTGTCTATGAGGATATTTACCCACGTCTCCATTTCCCATTTTGCCTTGAACATTGATTTTAATGACCTATCCACCATCCTCCACCACAAGCGTGGGTCCAAACTAGATTGGTCTGAAGATCTGCCCTCCTCTTGACCTAAACTATAGGAAACTTCCTAGCCAATGACCAGATCCAGACAGAATACGACAGGCCCGTGGAACTCCGCAGGACTGGTGAAACCTGATCTGCACTCAGGCTCAAGAGCAACCCACGCACTCTAAGTGGAAGCGCACGCCTTCAACCCCAAATTCTCCCAGATTTCCCTCCTTTCCCTTCTCCTCACGTTAAATAATAAGAAAGGAAGCAGAATTCCTTCCGAATAACTATCACAGAAAGCCACAGGCAAGCGGCAGGCAATGAGAAAGTTATCGGCAATTTGGAGGTAACCACTGATCTGGGAAAGCCGGAACGACCTTAACCCTCCAAGTTCCCCAGTTTCCTTCCCCCGCCCCACGTTACGCGAGTCGAGCACAGCACGTCCTCCGCGCGAGCCACTGTCCGGCCCGGCTCCGCCCCACCCTGGCCCGCTAGGCGGTGCTGGGGTTTAATGCAGCTCCGAGGCTGCTCTCTCGCACTGGCGGAAAGAGGAGCCGCGCTTGCGGCTCAGCACAGTGTGCCGGGTGCTGCAGCCCACTGCCGAGCAAACTCCGGCCGTCCTGCTACGTGGGGCTCCACTTCCCAGCTTCCCGGGGTAGCACAAACCACGATTAACTTAGCTCGGCCCGCTCCGCCTCCGCGACCTTTATTTGCCGGGAAGGCGGGCTCAGAAGGCGCAGGGCTCTCACCCTTTCTTCCTGTGGGTGCTGGGCTGGACGCCGTGGCCAATCACAGGCCACGTCATGTCTCAGCAGCCAATCGGAAAGGCCAGGGGCACTCACCAAGCCGAGCGCGCTCGATCGCTCCTCCCGGTCGGCTCGGGGATGGTTGGGGGTTTTGGCCTAGCTGGCTTGTGCTGTTTTCGCCCGCTGTGGCTAAATCCAGTGCCATCGCTCCGCTTGCGAGGCCAAGCCGGAGGATGCGAAGCGCAGAGGCAGGACGAACGTTGAGGCGAGTTCAGGGCCATGCCGATGGGTCTCCGGCTGCGCGCTCTGAAAGGGAATGGAGGGTATGACGGAAAGAAGGGATAGGGAGAGGGATATACGCGTGTGCCCTAGAAGTACTGAAGACAAATTGGGCCAAGTAAATTTACCAGGAGGGATGTCCTTTTTTTCTTTGTTTTACTTGGCAGTTTCCTAATGCGGAGATAATGTAGGGGTTGTTGGTGTGGTCGAGTATAGGTATGTGACCCCAAAGGAGCATGAATGAGTCGAATAGAAGAAGGCGTCGAACAGTTTTTTGGGTTTTTTTTTGCAAGACTCGAACAATGTGGGACTTAAGAACGAACTAAGGTAAGGCCCTTGGGGCTTTTGGTAAGCTCAGGGTCCAGTGGGGACTCGTCAATAGAAGCATTAGGAGGGGCAAGAGAGAAGGGTTTTGTTGAAGGAGTGGGGCATCGTAGAAGGCTTTCGGGAGCGAGATGATCTTAGAACGATGTCTTGACGTTTACGGTATGAAATTTCAGCTTTCATAGAAAAACAAAATGGGGCCAATTAGGGCATAATTTGTTTTGTGTCTTGGAAGAGCTCCTTAGCGTATTCAGTGGCTTATTTATTTCCTGCTTAATAGAAATATGTGTTACTTTTTTATTTCCTTCTCTAGCTTGCAAGCCTCGCAAGAATGATTGCAACATTTCCAAACAGGATTGCTTCTTTTCCCCCTTTTTGTTTGCTTTGTCCAGATTCCAGCCAAGAGACTCATCAGCTCAAGGTATTATTCTTCACGTCTACTTTCAATTATAGTATGCTTATATCGTATTTGAAATTAACAGAGCTTTTGGTCATGTAGCTTTCTTAAAAGTCACATCGGGGGAGAATTGATCCATGCAGAATGAGCTTGCTTGGCTGTAAGGTGTGCAAAGAGTAGGACCTGGACTGATTGATTTAGAGAGCGGGAAGGGAGAGTGAAAAGGAGACACACATCTGTGCGAGAGGAGCACCCATCAGTTGCCTCTCACATGCCCCCAGCTGGTGACCTGGCCCACAACAGAGGCATGTGCCCTGACTGGGAATGGAGCCAGCAACCTTTTGGGTCGCAGGCTAGGGCTCAGTCCACTGAGCCACACCAGTTGGGGCTGGATCTTTTTTTTCTCATGAGTCTATACCTACGGGTCAAATTGCTGGGTCATATGCTAACTCCTTCTGTCTAACCTCTTGAGGAAAGTCAAACTTTTTTCAGTGTCGGCACCATTTTACATTGCCACTAGCAGTGGGTGAGAGTTCCAATTTCTCTACATCTCCCAGGTGTCAAGTGGGAGCTCATTGTGGTGGTTGCCCTATTTTTAAGCACTCAAGGGTTTCTAAGGAACCTGCTAGAGGATGCTCCTTGAGGGCAGAGACAACGTCTAAGGTGAATTTGTCTTTTCAGTTCCTGGCACACAGGTAGGTGTCATATGTGCTCCTGCAAAAACCTCGAGTTCAACAAATTGTCCATTTCAAAGAAGCAGGGTCTGTGGGGAAAACCTATGCAATCTGATAATCTTGAAAATAAGTAGTGAGTAGCATGGCGAAGCAGTCTTTCGCGCTCCTACCCCATTAAAGGTAACTTGAAGTGGATACTGCCATGGGATGTATTAAAAGAATAAGGCTGGGGGGGGCCCTATTTTACAGATGGAGGTGGAACTCTGGGCCAAAGGGCTGCTGTTAAAATGTGTTCAGGAGGAGGTAACCTGCTGACAACCTAAGGAGGGGTGGGTGTGGCTGGGGAGGGACTCAGGAGTGCAGGCACTCATTTTTCATCTTTTTAAGATAGAGTGAAAGTAAAGGTGCTTCCAGTGGGCATCAGAGTACAGAGAAAAAGATGGCTTTTTTTCTTTTTCTGCTTAATTCGATTCCAGATGTTGAGGTTCTCTTAGGAAAGGTGAAACAGTGGCTCTCTCATTATTCTGATGCGTTCTTAATACTGCAGAAGAGATTTTACTCAAACGTTGTAGACTGCTTAACTGAAAAGAAGTAACTTCCGGGGAAGCCACAAGGGGTCACTGCCATAGGTATCGTTAGTGTGCTTCTGGATAGAGAAATATGTGCTCCCTTATAAACGGAATTTATTTTTTAGTTGAGTTGTATTTATTTATATTTGTTTGTCAGTTCTGCATGATTTTTGTTACTATTTTTTATTGGTTTACTGATGACACTGAAGTTGTCATTTTGATTGAGTATATCTTTGCTCCCTCCGATAACCTTGCTTTTTCCAATAACTTCATATCCAGTGATTAAACCTTTTCACTGCTGTTCACATAATGAACTGTTGTGATTACTGAATATGTTAGTGAGCATATGTAAGCTATTTTAAAGGTGTTATTTGCAAAAGGCATTGGCTATTACACAAAGTAATTTAAAAGAAAACATCTCTTTTTAGGAATCACACTCTCGGAGATGTCAGAAAAGGGTTCCTGGGTCTTGGAAAATGACATGAAATATGCAGGGGAGGTAGTGTCTCTTTCTGTCTTAAATAGAGTAAGTATTCCTGGAACAATAGCAGTGAGTTGGAAATGAAGGAATGTCCAAGTTAAAAAAAAAAAAAAGCATTTATAAAGGTGAAACCGGTTTTTGTTGTCCTGATATAATAAAGTGTATTTCTAGTAACTGATTCATATTCTTGCTGAGTTTTTCATCCCTTTAGTTCTCTGGTTCTTTGTGGGTTTTTTGTTTTTTCGTTTTTGGTTTTTTCCTTCAGAAAGCCTTGGAGTTTTGAAATTACTGCTAACCAAAAGTAAAGACAATTCTGGATTTTAGACCTTTTCATCTAATTCATAGGTTGTACGTTTTAACATTTTTAGGATATGCATTGTGGCCCTCTGGATTACTTATGTATCGCGGTGTAACAGATTACCCAAAGCTCAGTAGTTTAAAATAACAAACGCTTAATGGTGGTGGGAGAGGGACATCTGCTTTCAAACTCACTTGGCAGGTCTGGGGTTTTGTTTGTTTTTTCATCTTTACCCGAGGACATGTTTGCTGATTTGTGGGAGAGAGAAAGAGAAATATCAATCTGTTGCGTCCCATACATGTCCTCTCCGGGGATTAAATCTGCAGCCTAGGTACGTGCCGTGACCAGGCAGGAATGGAATCGGCAACCTTTGCTTTGCAGAGGGGCGCCCAGCTAATTTGAGCCACACCGGTCAGGGCCCTCCTCCTTTTCTTTTAAAGTTTTAAAACTGTTGATCATTGGAAACCTTGTCTAATAATAAAAACATTACATGTAAAGCAAGGCATAGCCAGCTGTGTAATGTACTCAGGTATGATTATCCTTTCCATGTCAGGCATGATGGTTAGAGTATACCTGCAAGTTTACATAAAGCAATCTGTGCAAAGTGGATGGATGATACACTTGAAATTATCTTTGCTGTGGGTTTTTTCCAGTCACAGTGAAACTGGAGCTCTTCTCTATTCTACATGAGAGACCTAAAATGTATAGAAATGTGCATGTATTATGTGTTTTTAAAAAATAGCTAAGCAATGAGAACGTTCGGATGAGAACGTAATTTGAAAATAAGAAAGTATAAATGTCCAATGATTAAACTTTTTCCACTGCTGTTCACATCATGACTTGTTGTGATTAAAGTATGTGGATGAGGACATATGGAAAGTGAAAATTGTGAGGTTTATAACAGGTATGTAGTTTTTGTACATTGATTTACCTGTACATTTTTTTCTTTTAGGAATAAAACTGAAGGGTGTTTTTCTTGAAAAACATTTGTCTGCTTTATCTGATCAAGAATTCAAAGACTTATGTAATGAGGTAAGAAGTTTATAATTTGGATGAAACATTAAAAAATTTGAGCAAAAAATATTGACATTTAAGAACAATTTGGACATTGTACGCAATTAAAATATTCGTCCTTAATTCAGCTTTCAAAAATAAGCATTTCAAAGATAATGTATTTTCTGAATTCATAGATTAGTTTAAGATCAGGCCATTGGTTTGGGTGGGGGGTCAGAACTTTTAACGGTAGTCGTCTTTTCTTAAAAATGGTGACACAATTCTTTCAGCTCCTGAAATTCGCAGTGATCGTATGTTCCGGGGTTTATATTTGCTGCACTACTGGCTATTTTATAAGTACTCCTTGACAGGCCAGTGGGTGAGCATCCTACGACTTAAGCATTGTTCAAGAATAGTAAAATAGGCAGGAGTTTGGAAGCTGGGAATCTCAAATCTAATACCAGGTTAATCTGTTATTAATGAGGCATGTTCTCTTAGGGGTTTTTAAAACTGAGGAATATAAAGGGGTGAAATTTTTGTGACTATTCAATTTCCTCTTAAAGGTTGATGGAAACTTTGTTTATGGCCCTTAATGAAAAGATTTAAGAAAAAATGAATTCAAAACAAAACTGATCACCTTTCAGCCTTTATGGCTAAGATGAAATTCAAGATCAAAACTAAAACAACATTAATGATGAGTGCTCCTGTTTTACATGTAAACATGGTACCAGTTCCTATGGAGTAAGTTGTAAACACACGTGATCTTGTGCCTTGTGATGATTATAACGTTTTACAGTCTGGACAACAGTGGTTTTTTGCAAACCTCAAGATTATTTACATGAGCGAAGGGGCCTCAGTTGTCAAGGAAAATATCTTGGGACTGTCCCCAAATCCTAACTTGAAGGATTCTCTGTTACATTACCTCCAAACATTCTTCTAGCTACAATGAGTAATTCAGTCTTGGAACTAGCATTCCTTTAAGAACTAGAACTCCTTTGAGAAGCTTTAGTTTTTATGTAATCTAAGATTAGGCTTGGCTAGTAGTTAAGTAAATTGGATTAAAGATCGACTGAACTAATACAAGTTTTTCTTTTTAGATACAGGTAGGTCTTACTTTGCACCCTTCCGACACGCATTTTTCACAGCTAACAAAAGAACACCAGCCCCCAAAAACATGGTTGAAATTCAGTCACGACAATATTAACTGAATTGTTGCGTGAACTTGGCGGCACACTCTTTATTCCATAAGTCTTTATGTGAATAAAAGATGCGCGTCATGGTCGGAAACCAGTTGCATCACTCTTTTCAAAGTCTGTTGGTGGTCGGTCATTCAATGCAGATAGTGAAGAATGGTTGTGTTGTTTTCTTGTCTTCCAGTGATAAACCTAGTTGACATTTTATAAAAATGGACGATCAGAAGAGGGAATTGGTCAACAAAGAGGACAACAGTAAGGAAACAAAAAGTGACAACGCTGGACTTGAAATTGAATGTGGCTAGATTTGGAAATGGTGATAGCGAAGACAAGGCGAGACCTAGGCCTACATGAAGCTACAGTACAAACCATATTTTAAAAGCCTGATGCATATAAAAAAATAAGGTAAAGATGCTTCAGCCTCTTTCAGTTTAAGTTGCACTTGGAAGAAAAGGCCCTTGTAGTTGAGTTGGAGCCTTTACTTCTCCTTTAGATCCAGGGCTGTAATGAAAAACAAACCCCAATCAGTTTCATTAGCATTCAGGCCAAAGTATCTTAGTGCTGCACTGAAGGAGATGGTAAGTAATTACAAGGAGACAAACAGGACATTTTATTGCCAGTAAAGGCTGCTTGTATCGTTTCAGAAGTCTGCGTGAATTCATTAACGTTAAACCATCTGGTGAAACTGCAAGCTCAGGTTAAGGACGCTACTGTGACATTTGCACCCAGAGTCCAAGAATTACAGACAGTAGTACAAGACTACTGTGCAAAAGACTGCACGATGTGGATGGAACATAAATGGAGCTCTAGAAGATGGAGATGACGCTCAGAAATTGAAGAAGTAGTGCTGGATATGCAGCCAGAGGAACTTAGTGAGGAAAGTGGCTGTGATGTGAAGGATGACTGTGTCTCCGAGGAAGTGATGGAGATGAAAAACTTCACTAAAGAAACCCTCAGATTTTTCTGTTGTTGAAAGCACAAATAAAACTTCAGAAGCTGGTCCAAACCTGCCATGGCATAGAAAGGATGCTCCTAAAGAAATAAAACAGTAATTCTCATTGTTTCTACTGTTTTAAATATTTTCCTTTCTTTTTACGTTATAACCAAGAGAGCTTAATGTTTTGACAAATTATAAGGTCACAGAGTAATCGTAGATTAAGATTGCACACCTTTGTTAGGGAGCCTTTATAGTCCACCAATATAAATACATATGAAAAAATGGCTATATCTGGGCCTTACCAGAACCAATTACAGTGGACATTTTTCATATAGTTGACATTTTGCGTTTTTATCCTATATCAAGGCATTGAAACAACTTAAAATGAAATATAATACTTAAGTGTCTCATTTTTTACTTTGGGTATTAATCCACCTTTAGGCCGAATCCTGTTGAACAGAACAGGGTTTAGCAAACTTTTCCTATAACGGGCCATATATTAAGTACTTTAGGTTCTGCGGGCCATTGTAGTGTCTAGCGGCTGCCCAGGTTTGTCCTTATTTATAGCACAGAAGCGGCCATAGGGCATCGAACGTGGCTGTGTTCTGCTGACCTTAAAGAGTAAGGTATTTCTCCAGCAAAGTGAGTTTATTCTGGAACAAAGAATTCCGGTTTGGGACATTTGGTCTAATGGTGAACCAAGCACAAATCCAGAGAACAGGTGAGGAAGAAGGGGAGGGGGCGTTCGGTGGGGCTGTTGTAACCTGTTCTTTGGAGAAAACCGAGGTTGCAGAGCAATGAGTTTTTATTGGCTGTCTTCTGGGGAAGACATCTCATTCCTTGCCAGAGTAGTGCCTTGGACAGTACCTCTTCCTGTTTGGGGAGGTGGACCAGTGGTAGGGATCAAGAGCTCCCCCTACAGGCCCTCAACTACATCTTACATGAAGTTTCTGTTTACTAATACAAAGTTAGCTAAGACTTCATGGGCACTGAAATTTCAATTTCATGTAATTTTCTCATACCGTGAAATACGTTTCTTTTGCTCAGAGAAATTTTTGTGTTTACGATGCTTAGCTCACAGGGCCTTACAAAAGTGGGTGGGGATGGGAAATTTTGTAATTTGGCATATATAAGAGGAACACGTAGTTGTACCATGTGATTGTTTTTGAACTGTAAAGCCATCTGCTTCAATTAGAAGCAGGAAGAAGGTTTTTAAATGATAGGATCCAGCTGCCTTGCCAATTTTGTTATCAGAAGGTGATTTAGCCCTGGCTTGTGTGGCTCAGAGGACTGAGCGTCAGCCTGAGAATCACAGGGTCGCTGGTCCGTTTCCCAGTTTAGGGCACATGCCTAGGTTGCAGGCCAGGTCCCAGTAGGCAGCGCATGAGAGGCAACCAACATTAATGTTTCTCTCCCTCTCCATTCCCCTCTCTAAAAATAAAGTCATTTTTTAAAAAGTTATTTTAATACAAAAGAGTAACAACCTGGGATCACAGGAATCATACTCCAAGAACTAACATTTCAAGAGCAATGACTGCCTGTCACTTCTGAGCCCTTAGCAGGCGTTACCTCAGTCGATCCACACAAACTTACTGTCCCTACTTTGCAAACCTTAGGAGAGTCCATTCACTCAAGGGCCAAGGGCTGGACAATGGGTACAGTAGGCTTCCTAAAGTCTAGGTCACTGTGTCTCTTACCCACAAGACCTGCCCTCGTATACAGACCTACACTGATGGCTTCAACGCCTAGCGCTGGCAGAATGACCCAGTGGTTGCCAAGTGTGGGCTCTGGAGCCAGATAGCTCTTCTGTTGCTATCCCAATTTGACTTCAGTGTCTCAGCCCTGTGGTCATTTCCTCACCTGTAGAATCATAATAGTAAAAACCACTAACTTGACAGATGTTTTCTATGTGTTGGTTCCCAAACTTCCTCCTCAAGGGACCCATTGAATGGAGACACCAGAGTCTCTCTTACACGGAAGTAGCTTGTATAGTGCCCAAAGCCCTGCCTGGTGCAGACTGAGAGCTCTGTAAATGCTAGCTTCAATGGAGCAGCCAGTCTGTGGCTCCGCCAGCGCTGGGGTCCCTCATCTGGGCTCACTGCTAGGTCTTAATAGCACTGGCACATGGAAGACACTTGGTCAACCTCAGCGGCAGTAACCGAAGTTCAGACTGTGCAGATACCCTCAGTCCCGCAGAGAAGAGCAACTGGATCGTCAGGAGGCTCCAGAGGTGGGTGCTTCTCAGTTCCATGATACTAGGCACACACAGTGCAGCTAACACTTTGCATCTTCGCCCTGGAGGGCCCAGGCCTGCTGATCCCCCATGAGGTCTACCACCAGGTTCAGCCTCCAGTCCCAGGGCATCCCTCTCCTTGGTGTTCCAGGCTCTCAGCAACTACCTCGGCTGTTTGTCCATGCCACTTGGATAACACTGATCTTGGTGTCAGACAGCAGGTTGAGAGTCGGTCTTCTCCAGCCCTTCCCCAGGTGGTCACAGATTACATTGGATGTCAAATGCAGCACTCAAGTGTTGCTCTTCCCGTGTGAGTTGGCTGGCTGTGTCAGCTTCAAAGTCTTGGCTTCACAGGGAAGCCAGCACTTTGGTGCGCTCAGGATCCATCACCTTTAGCTGGAGCATCCGTGAGGAGAGGTTGAGGTTGCTCAGCCCACACTCCAACTTCCATTGCCCATGCAGCCATGGCACAGGAACTTGAGCTCAGCCAGTTCACTGATTCGGTGGCCTTTTGCTCTGCAGGACGATGCCCAGCCAACTAAGCCACACCGGTCAGAGCATGGTTAACATACCTTTATCTTGAGCCTTAACCGGTCCTGGCCAGAGTGAGGTGGTCGGAGCAGCATCCCATAAGTGGATTCTGTCCCTGACAACTGTCCACATGGATCTTTCCATCTCTCTCCCTCCCTTCTCTCTCTAAATTTAAATTCAATAAGCATGTCCTTGGGTGGAGATTTTTTTAAAAAAATCCTTAACCACCTTCAAGACAGCACATAATCTTAACTATCTTGTAATCCACCTCCCCATCTGCTTATTTTCTTCCCTTTTTAATTTCAAATACATTTTCAAAAAGTTGCAAAGCTTACTCTCTGGAGCATTTGAGATCTTGCTCCCAGGCATATGTCATCAGTTTGGCTCAAACTAACAAATTCTCTACACATTTGGACATTTGTGACATTTGTGAGCCATATTTTACTTTTTGTGCACAAGGATGAGAAACATTACTTCCAGGGAAGGCACTTAGCACTTTCGGAATGAGACAGTTGACTGGTCCCTGATAGCAAGAGAACTGGTCTAGAAGTTGGGAGAACTGGTTGAAGCTAGGTTCTGGGATGAGAGCAAGTGATTTTCCTCTGGGTTTACTTTCCTCACTGGAAATAATTTCCCTCTCATCTAGGAACAACACCCAGGCTACACAGTAGTTAGATGCCAGGCTCTCATTAAACTAATAAAGTTTCAGTAACTGGGGGCAAACGCTAATAGATCTCAAATCATACTGTAGGCTAGTAATGGTATACCTTACCCATAATGGCTCTTTGGAGTAAGAAATCAAGTATGTCCACAACAGCCTTTGGGTGTGACCAGGTCCTATGGTTTTAACGTTCCCGAAATGCAATACGAAAGAACCAACTAAGCAATTTTAAGAACTAGGTCACAAATTACTGTCACTGCCATTAAGGGCCTTTGTAGCCCGATTTTTAAGTGGTTTGTCTGGTGTGGGCAATGTCACCGGGGCTGTTGACTTCTCAGGACTAGTACTACGTGGCGTTTCGGCGGAGTCCCTGTTGTTCTTTGGCAGACGAGTAAGTTCAGTAGGACTTTTCTTTCTCGCACATTCGGCCAAGGCAACAACGCCGTCCCTTCTCCCAGTCAGAAAGAGTCCCTCGACTCACGCACGCGCGCAAGACTCGGAAGTGAGTGCCCCTCCCTCTTCAACGCTCTTTGCCTAGACCTGCTTCCGGTACCGGAAATGCCGTGGCGGGTTAGGCGCTGGTGTGGGCGGGGCCAGGCTTCGTTCCCGGAAGCTCGCCGGCTGGTTGGGCGGGGTTGCGGCTGCCACGTTGAAGCGGAACGTGGAGGTGGCTCTGAGCCGGGAGGAGGGGCGGTGGCGAATGTTCGGAGAGTCTGACGGGAGCCGCGCTAACGCACGAACCTGTCGCCTAGGGTCCCTGCCAGGTGTGTCTACCCTTTTCCCTCTTTCCCTCTTCAGCAGCCCTTGGACCTTAATATAGAGCATGGGCCAAAGCTGTGATCCCAGCCTCGGTCTCCGCTGGTCCACGCCACCCTGAGGCCCGGTCTCCGGTGGCGGCGCGCCCCTGGTCTTGGTTTCGGGCCCGGCTGGACAACGCCCGGCATGACGGCTGTTTCGTAGATCCTGCCGGTTCACATTCGCCGTCGTTTTCACTGCTGATCAGGAGTTTCCCTGAGGCTTGCGACAGGGTATTCTGCCAAGGCGGGTAACTGCGGTCTGAGGTTAAGACACCTTCAAACCCTTGTGCACAAAGAGGTGCGGTCCCCAAGGGCGAGGGAAGGAAACAGACCTCAGGATTTCTTTGGTTAGGTTAGAATATTTTTATTTGTATTTTAGCTATTGCCAGATTGGAAGGTTGGTAGGTTTTAACTGAAGACTACTGTCATTCAACCAGTATTGGTTTATTTTATGGGCAGCGGTCTCCAATCGCAGCCTATTCCTCGGAGGAGGTTTTATAAATGCTGTACGTTTTTGCTAATAAATCGTACGATATTAAGTTACGGGACAGGTGTAAACTAAATCAAAGTATTACCTGGGCTTGTGGGCGTTATAAACTTTCCTGTTTTGCTCAAGGAACTGATTTTACGTATGTGAACGATGGCGTGTGGTGGAAATATTTTTTCTAAACTGCCTTATCTAAGTATAGAAAACTGAAATATGATTGTCTTTGTTGGCAACTGTAACTGTATTTAATTGATAATGAGAGACTCCTCCTTGTATTATCCTATCCAGCGTTTTCTGTGCATACCAGTTCTAGAGTTGGCCAGGAAAGTTTACTCCTCTTGTCGGTGATTCTTTTGTGCTGCTTGTTTCTCATTGTCCCTTAATCACAGCTCTGGGAAAGGTTTGCAGACTGTAAGAACTTATATGAGATTTGGAGTGTATATAGAATTATACTCTAAATTTTGTGTAAGTACGTTTTTTTTCTGAAACTAATAACGTGAGAATAGAAAGAAATTTGTAAACTGT